AGACGATCCAGAAGAGGATTGGGAGAATGTCATATGGTCAGATGAAACCAAAATAGAACTTTTTGGTAAAAACTCAACGAGACGTGTTTGGAGGAGAAAGAATGCTGAGTTGCATCCAAAGAACACCATACCTACTGTGAAACATGGGGGTGGAAACATCATGCTTTGGGGCTGTTTTTCTGCAAAGGGACCAGGACGACTGATCCGTGTAAAGGAAAGAATGAATGGGGCCATGTATCGTGAGATTTTGAGTGACAACCTCCTTCCATCAGCAAGGGCATTGAAGATGAAACGTGGCTGGGTCTTTCAGCATAACAATGATCCCAAACACACCGCCTGGGCAACGAAGGAGTGGCTTCCTAAGAGGCATTTCAAGGTCCTGGAGTGGCCTAGCCAGTCTCCAGATCTCAACCCCATAGAAAATCTTTGGAGGGAGTTGAGAGTCCGTGTTGCCCAGCGACAGCCCCAAAACATCACTGCTCTAGAGGAGATCTGCATGGAGGAATGGGCCAAAAATACCAGCAACAGTGTGTGAAAACCTTGTGAAGACTTACAGAAAACGTTTGACCTCTGTCATTGCCAACAAAGGGAATATAACAAAGTATTGAAATGAACTTTTGTTATTGACCAAATACTTATTTTCCACCATAATTTAAAAATAAATTCTTTAAAAATCAGACAATGTGATTTTCTGGATTTTTTTTCCCCTCATTCTGTCTCTCATAGTTGAGGTATACCTAGCATGAAAATTACAGGCCTCTCTCATCATTTTAAGTGGGAGAACTTGCACAATTGGTGGCTGACTAAATACTTTTTTGCCCCACTGTATATATTAAAAAAAATAAAAAAAACACATATAAAAATGTAATGTTCAACTAGTATTAAAAGCCAGAAAGCACAGTTTGCAGTTATTTGTTATTAACAGAAAGAATGGAGTGCGGAGAGAGGGGAGGATTGAGGTCCTGAGCTGGAATTGAACCGGGAATGCTGCAGTAAAATGATATGCCTCTTCACCAGCTGGACACCATTGATATTTCCCTTACTATATGGACATAGAATCCAAGTAGCGTGTTTCAAATTAACATACAGATGAAAGAAACCCCTCAAGGAAAAAGATTCCCCCCATTGGGTTACAGAGGCCAGTGTAAGAGAAGCTTTACGATAGTGAATACGTAATATGCATTCATTTTTAAATGGTTATTTCTTATGTCCTTTGACTTGTGAAACTGTACAACATGATTGCTCGTTCATGGACTGGTCACCAGGATTAAATATGTACATACTTTTAGAGAAGAGGTCTTTATGAATGTGTAAACCCATTGAGAAGTTCCTCGAGTGTGTGTGCTCAGAAGGAAGCTCATAACTGTATCATCAAGATTCAAGGCTTTTATTGTCATTCGTACATAGCTACAGTGAAGTTATGTCGATGAAAATCTTAGGTCCCAGGCTCCTCCAACAGTGCAAGTAAATACAATACAATACAATAGAAGTAGTGCCATAAGAGTCTACAAGTGATCCATCATTTGTAAGTTACAAACAGGTGAATGTTATGAATGTTCTAAAGAACAAAAGAAGGACCATACATGTATGCATAGAGGCAGGAAGGGGAAGCAGACATCAAGAGGTATTTTATAAATACGCATTAATGATGTTCTTCTGATTAACCTGTGCTCCTCTCCCTCCCTTGCTGTAGCCGGGGCTGTTGGAGCCCACCTCCTCCCTGGTGAGGGTGGCAAAGAGCGCCAGCACTCTGGGGATCGCCATTGAAGGCGGAGCCAACACGCGCCAGCCCATTCCACGAATAGTCACAATACAGGTGAGTGAGGAAGAACACAAAACAAGTTATACAATAATGATTTAATATGAAATAATACACGTGTACCTTTACTTTGATTCACATATATATGTTGCTCTGAAGTAAAGGACTTATGTGTCTGCCATACAGATTTCATATTTACATTTTAATTTTCACTTTCACTATGTTAAATCTTTCAACACACATCAGTCCTCATCATAAACACAATATACATTCCTTTGTCGAATTGTTGCCCCTTTAAATGGCGATTTATTTACGAAATGCCACACAAATGAACCTTTTTGCTGTATACTTGTTGCTAAGGTGAT